TTCTCATATTATTTCTTTGATAATTTTCTCACTTCTTTCTTGAACTTATTAGTCAGATGTTACACCTCTTATCTACATCCTGAACGTCTGTCTTTTGCTTTATGGTTTGAAAGATTAACTTGACATTTCTATTAAATTTCATTTGTTTTGTTAAGCATATTTAAAATTTTTAATTAGAATATACCTTTTTTTTTTTTTTTGGTAAAGTTCTCTGCTGTTCCCTGAATAATTTTCATCCTTCTAAGATAATTTCTCCCCGCTTTTCATTTTGATTCTTTTTCTGTTGTAGGTTTTCCCTAAGTGTATATTTCGTTGTAATGTATCTATTTTTAGTTAAGAATAAGGCAGAAGAAAAAGCTGCATGTGAGCTCTGTATATATAGTTGGACCACTGTAGGATAAGTGGGAACGGAGCTGGACACCACATTTTGGGATCCTTAAATGTCAGAATGTTGGAGGGATTTGCACTATAGTGGGTTTGTACTATAGTACTAACCTGTACCCTAGCTGCCTTGGGTAGTTTATTCCATTTCTTTGAATAAATATTCCTTCTTTTTTGCCTACGGGTAAATGTTGCCTGGGGCTGCCAGATCATCATTGCACAGGAGTGGGATGAGGTTTTAGTTCTCCATCTTGGGATTTGCAGTTAATTCCCTTGTTTTCTTTTTCACATATTACTCAAGCACTCCAACGTATTTGGTGTTTCCAAAGTTCTCTAGGGTCTTGTGGGACGGATTGGCTCCTTGCTTCCCTGAGCTGCCTCCATGCATTCTCTAAGCTGTGGCTTCTTCTATCCTATTTTATTTGTTACCACTTCTTTTTTCCAGAAATGTGTTGAAATCTTTATCTATTGTAGCTCATCCTCCTGTTGTATTTAAGGATGTGAATTTATACTTTTAAAAATTCCTTTTCTTATCATTTTAAGGGGGTCTCTGGAAGGAGAGGAGATAAACATGAGTACCCAGTTCACCATTTTTAACTGAAAATCTGATTGTGATGTTGTTTTAATTAACAATGTTATTAGTTGCTAATCAAGCACATATTAATTTATATTATCGATGCATATTATAGAGGAAGTATAGAGATCTCAGTAAGTTTTATTTTAACTTACTGTTAGAGCATTGTTTTATTCTCTAGATTTAGGTATTTTATTATGGTAATATTGTAAAGTAGTCCAGTAGAAACAAAACTATGTTTTAACTATCTAAAGAGCTCTTTCAAACCTAAACAAATCAGTTACTGTTTAGCAGTAAATTTAATATATGTAATTGTATATTATATGTAATTTCATATTTGTTTATCATGCCAATACTTTCTATTTCTATTTGGAAATAGCTTTCATTTTACGTATTATCTTAAAAATCACATAAGAAATATGCTCTATAAAATGCAAGATAAATCTCTTAATTATTGAGATAATTTCCTTGACACTAGAACATATATAATTCTGTGAGTCTTGGTTTTGCCTTGTGGGGTGTTCTTGGAGTATCTTGTGACTGGGACCTGCTAGGGTCACTGGCATTTTGCTTAGCTATAAATTATAAACAGATGGAACTTTACCACTCCTTGCCATTTTTTTGCTTTTTACTTGGCAAGTGTTTTAAAAAAGGCCTCAAAGGAAAGGGGTGAGTGAATTTTAAACACTGGAATTCAAATATTTACTTCAGAGAAATTTTTTTGCGTACTTACCTGGAGGAAGGTGATCTTTCACTTTGCCTTTTGGTGGTTTCTTGTAAATATGTTGGCTAGAGGGTGACTGGGAAGAGAGAGATTAAGTCATATTCTGTATTCTTTTATTGTAAATCTTCCTAACTAGAGAAATATACTGATCAATGTATATTTACTGTGGTAATGTGGATTGGCTTGTTAGAGCATTGCTGTAGGATTTCACCACTTTAAAGCTTATTATCATATACTTATTAGAAATACATCCCATTTGATATTTTTCTTCATGACTGAATTCCCTTATTCCCACAGGAATGGCATTAAGTTATATGTTAGTTGGATGGTGATAGCAATCTTTTTGTTAGAAAAGTACACTTCTTAACAGTTTTGAATTTTGGAACTCTGATTTGAGTAGACTCCCATCTAAACCTATATTGGTAACATATAGCATTACTATACATTTTCACTTATTAAATGCAGTGTGACTCAGATTGAGTTTTCGGAATTACTAACCTATCTTACTGATTACCTTTGTTTTTGTTCTAGGTTTGTGTTGTTAATTAAGCTATCCTGTACGGTTATGGCTTCCTTCATTCTGTGCTGGCTGCCATTTTTTACAGAAAGGGAACAAACCTTGCAGGTTCTAAGAAGACTCTTCCCAGTTGATCGTGGATTATTTGAGGCATGTTTATAAACTTTCCTCTCACTCCTTTCCATTACTATACCTTCCCTGTGACGTTTTAGGATTTTGTGTAGAAGACAACCAAGGAATAGGAACTTCAGCTGCTTTCCTCCTGCAGTCATTTCTTGCCAGTTATTTAATCCAGTGTATAACCTTGAGCTCATCTGGCATTTTCTAGTATATTATATCAATAGGTAATATTTATGACATCATCAGATCTATAATTCAATTATACATTTTTCTAATGAAAAGGGGTCCATAATAAAGAACAGCGTGAGTGCAGCTGCAGTGTTAACAGCTCTGTAATTTTTTGGCTTATTTTCTCTTTTTCAGTCTTAGGAAATTATTTGTTAAACTAATAATCATGTTTGCTTCAGAAAGATCTCATAATTTCTTATGAGATAATATAATCTTCACCCATGATCATTTTTAATGAGAATCTTTCATTTAATGCTAGTTTAATCACTTGTTAAACTTTTATTACATGAATAATTTGATCATTTAGATTTAGTAATTAAATTAAACAAACCATTTTTCTGAAACAAAAAGGCCTTTTAGTAAAGTTAGACAGAGACAACATATTTATAATTAATTTGCTTTTAAATAACATTTAAAAATAATTAGAATAGCAATCTAATTTTTGAATATATAAATTACTATAGAATATTTTTCAATGGACTTATAGGAGTATGGAACCAGCATTTTGAAAGAGATAAGAAAGGAGTTTGGTGTTGTGAAGAAACAGGAATATATGGCTGTGTGTTAATGGGGATGATGGTAGTCATGATACTGATAATAATAATCATCACTGTTATCACTACCACTTACTAGGTGCCAGACACTTCCATATAATGTTATTTGATCCTTATATAGCACTGAGGTAGCTGTTATCCGCACTTTACAGATAAGAAAACTGAGGTCAGAGATTCATATAACTAGTATGTGGCAGTGATTTGAACTTTGAAAACTGTGCTCCTAATCCCTTCTTTACATCCTCTAACTTTAACACCTATATAAAGAAAAGTTTAATTTTCCATGTAAGCTGCCTTTTTATTTGCCTTATCTTCCATTTCAGAAATGGTATTTATCATGGTAGTTATAAAAATGAGTATCAGATATGTTTGATGGAATTGCCAGTCTCTTTCATTCACTTGTTGCTCTCAAAATCTGAAGAGCATTTTCTTTGATCCGACAGAGGAAAGTGGTATGGTACAGTTGTCAGTGATAGTTACTTTCTTGAGGGTATGCCTACACAGCTGTGAGTCAAGCAGCTGTGTAGAGGATGGGTTTCATGAACACAAGAGCTGTAGTTACAAATTTAATTTTGAAAGTGATCCTAGCACAACTGCTAATGTCTTTAAACCTCCTGATTTATTAGCAATTAGCTCTTGTCATTGCTAGCAGCTAGTAGGTAACTCTAAATAAATTCAGGTGTGTGATAAAGTGAATCAGATGTAATATGTATTCTACAAATTAGGAAAAAATAAAAAGATTTCTTAGAAGAATTTCCAAAGATTAATAACTTTAGTATTTAGGAATAGTGTACTGCTTTTTAAAAAATATTAAGTATTTCTTGGGAATGTCTAGATTATGGTTGGCTAATGATTTAGATCAACCCCAGTGCAAAAAAATGAAAAATGCTTGAGAGTATGCATGTGTCTATGTTTATTCCTTGGAGGGTTTAATCTACTTAGTTATAATTGTGAATAAAAGTTTCACATGTCTCAAAAGTTTATTAGAGATTATGGGCTTTACTTCATGAGGTTTCGTGTACCTTTCAGTTATACATAATGTAAAACTAACAAATCTCTTTTAAGGATAAAGTAGCCAATATTTGGTGCAGCTTCAGTGTCTTTCTGAAGATTAAGGATATTTTGCCACATCATATCCAGATAATAATCAGGTAAGAGGCATAGAGTTTGTATATAGTGTTTCGTAAGCTACTCTCTAAAAGTATTATGGTAATATTTTATTTACTTGACATCATTAGGGAATGAGGTATTCTTCATTAGTGAATATTCCATATAACTTAAACCTAATCCTCTATGTAATAAAACTCTTTTATTTGAATTATTTTATGTGAAAGTGTTTATGAATTGTTGCCTGATTCTCTTCTTAAACAGAGAGTACGCTAAACATGATTTAACATTATCTTGAAGAATCATGATTTTCAGTGGTGTATCAGTCAGGGTCAATCAGAAAAATAGAATATGTAGGAGATCACTGAGGGGTGCGTGTGTGTGTGTGCGCGTGTGTGCATGTGTGTACACCAGTTTATTACAAGGAATTGGCTTATGCAATTGTAAAGGCTGGCTAAGCAAACCGGAAGTCCACAAGGTAGGCAATCAGGAAGGAATATTTAGGGGGAAAGAAGAACTATTCAGACCCAGCTGCTGTTAGGGAAGGCCTAAATCCTCTTTTAAAGGGCTTCCAACTGATTACGTAAGGCCCCCCAGAACAATCTCCCTCTCGATTAATTTAAAATAAACCGAATAGGGACTGTACATCTGCAAAATCCCTTCATAACAGCATCCAGATTAGTGTTTGAATAACTGGGAGATGAGTAGTACTTCCCTCTGTCCTCCAACTCTTGGGAGAATATCTCTGGTAGCCCACCCTAATATGAAGCCTGCAGGAAGGGAATTCTGGGTACTTTAATTCAGCCTAGCCAAAGTTACCAGGGGTGGGAAGATCAGTTATTTATTAGGTTATATACTTATTTTCAGGGTTTTCAAAGCCTGTTTGCCATGGTACTAAATGGCTCCAGATTGTTCTGCTTATTGAGTCTGTCTCTGTTCCCTAGTTCTTTTTCCCTCCCTCCATCAGCCGTCAGCTCTAGTAGCTTCCTGCTCCCTTTCCAACTTCTGATTTACCGTGGGCTTGAAAATCAGATAATCTACTTTTGTGAAATGAGGGCTAGAGAGACTCTCTTGGGAATAAAGTTTATGAATGTTTGTGTTACAAATATAGCATTGTCTCTTTATAAGTGGTTATGTTTTCTTATTTTGAGTTTCATAATTAACCTTCAGCTATATATCTTTTATCACTTCTATAGATGATTTTAAATACTAAAGTAATGTAAGCATTATTATAATGTTTTATTCTGTATTATATCATGTAATCATATATAAAAGTGCATATTTCAGTGTATATCTTTTATTTAAATGTTATTTGGTCTTAAATTTAATAAATAAAAATAAACTTTAATTTGAAATTAACTTAAGTTGATAAATAATGTGATCCTTAAATTTTTAAAAATATTTCTTTGTTTTAGCTAGATTTACCTCTACAAAGAGAACAAATATTTTTTTTATTAAATTTCTAGCTTTTGTTTTACATTTTTGAGCCTGCTTCCCGCATGTATAAAATTAACAATTCAGCCCTCTCCCAAAGGATTCAAATATACTTTGGTAAGTTTCTCATTATCTTAGATACCTAATTTTTACTACAACTAATCTAATAAAAATATAGATAATTATTTTCTTGCTCTGAATAGGATTTATTAGATTGGGAAATAAGATTCATTTATTTGGCAAACATTTATTGAGTGTCTCATACTTAGATGCTGTGTTGGACACTACACAGAACAATCAGAATCATTTACAACTATTTTAATTTCTGTTTTGTATTAGTTAATGAGGGAATACAAAAAAAGAAAACAGTGGTGATAAACATGCTTAAATAATTATGCTGTAAGGCAGATGATATTAAGTTCTATTAGGTACAAAAGAAGTCCTATGATGGTGTGAGAAAGGTAGATAGTATTTTGTGGGGAGATCTTATATAGCTGCTTAGAGCAAGTAGGATTTGAGACAAATTTTGAAAGGCAGACAAGATTTGGAACAGGAGTTTATACAGCAGAAGAGAAATATAAGACATGAGGAAGAGTTTGAAGATACAGATGTGGGAAAGGACAGAGAATGTTCTAAGAGCAGCTATTAAACAATACAGTTTGTCTGACTTTTTTATGGGTGTATATTGAGGGAGGAGAGGATATGGGGAGAGATAAAGTTCATTAAGGACCAAATTATAGAAGATATTGAACATTTAGTTGAAGAGGTTTGGAATGTGACTTGTGTGCAAGAGGAGCCAAAAAAGATTTTTGAGAAGGGGAGGGGGCAGATCTGTTTTAGGAAGATTATTTCTGTGAATTTGAAGATGGATTGGTTATATTTCCTATACTTAAGGGTTATTCTGAGTGGGTTTACAAATTTCTCCTGGTTGTATTTCTGTGGTATTTAAAATTTTGTTCCTGTGTGCCTTGGTCTATAAAATGATAGTTAAAAAATACCTTTTAAAGTATCAAGAACATTTAGTCTGAAAACAGTAAGTCCTAAGGGACTTATAAGAAGACAACATTTTAGAAATTAGGGTTCCAGTTCTGGGACTGCCATTCATGTACATGGCATTCTAAAAACAAGCCAGAACAGAAATATTTCAACAGTGCATCTCAGTACTGCAACACAAAAAGCATAGTTTCATGTTCTTCTTTTCTTGTTTATTACCTTTTTATTGATGATTTCTGTTGTTTCATTCTGTGAATGGATTCTGAGCATACCAAGTCATGTACTGTTAATATTCTATAGGACATTTAGAACGGGATGGATAAGGTTAGTAATGCTCTGGTGTCTTCAATAGGCCTAACTTAAAATATTTTCAAGTTTGTGAAAGATTATGTTATTTTTCTAGGAAATAACATGCTAAATAAAGGTATATTTCAAAGATAATGGAAGAGAGTTTGAGAGTTTTAGTAACTGTAGCTGTGTTAGAGATTACTTTTAGGACGATAAGCCAGAAAAAAACATTTTCTTAATTTTCTCATTTTATTCTGTTTGCTATATTTTAACACAGGGCACTATGTTAAAAAAAAGTTAATGTTTTTGTTGATAATGCTTTGAGTTTTTATTATATACTTCTGAGAGCTTTAAAAGATTTCCCATTATAATTATTTTTAAAGTATTTTCCTTTCAATCAAGTTTGGTTAAATTATATCTCAGTATAAATCTATAATTGAGGTAATCTCTAGTATGAATACTAATGTGAGGGGTCTTCAAAAAGTTCGTGGAAAGATTCATATTATCTTTTAGTTCAATTTTTCCATGAATTTTTTGAAGTACCCTCATATATCTACAGCAGCAAAATGATTTATATGTAATCTACTCAAGTAGTATTTATTGAGTGCCTTGTAATGTGTTAGGTCCCCTTCTAGGAACTGGCATGTAAGTGAATGACAGATAACATCCCTGCTCTCTTATTTGGGGCCTTTCATGCTAATGGTGGGAGATGGACAATGAACAAAATATATCTGTTAACAAGAAAGTATCGGGGAATAATAAGTGCTATGAAGAAAATACTGTTATGTGAACAGAGACCTGATGGGGTTGGGGAAGCCTTTCTAGAGAAGTGACATTTGAGCCCAAAGTGAACGACCAACTAGAGAGAGCCAATCACAAGATCTAGGACCTTTTTTTTTTCCCCCTTGTGGCTGGCCGATGGTACAGGGATTGAACCCTGGACCTTGGTGTTATCATCATTTAGGACATTTTTGAGGCATAAAGAGACAGGTATGAAGTGGCTGGTGTGAAGTGAGTGAGGGAGACGAAATGGATTGGAAGAGAACAACAAGAACCAGACCTCATAGGGGTTTGGATTTTATTCTAGGTGGAATGGGAAGCTGTTGGAGGATTTTGAACAGGGAAATTGCAGGATCTGACATGGTGCCGTTTGGAGAGTAGATGGTAAGGGGGCAAGAGGTTACCAATTAGGAAATCATTGCACCAGTCTAGGAGAAAGATGGGGTGTCTTAGAGCACTCTTCTGCCACCATCAGCAGAGGTGAATGGACAGAAGTGGGTGGATATTGTATTTAGGAGGCAGTGTAGATAGGCTTTGCTGATGGATTAAATTTATAGTAATTCAGGTTTTTTGTTTGAGCAACTGGATAGATGTATATAAACATATGTCTAATATGCAGAATGTAAACAGCAAAATAGATCTAAGTAATTTTTTATTTAAAACTCCAAATAACAAATAATAAATTTATAAACCATTTAATTTATTTTATTGAAGTACACATTTTAAAAATACTGAAATAGATTTGTTTTGCCAGGTTTAGATTTTGACCTTTTTGTCCTTCACACTTTTAAATTTAAATTGTAAGAGATTCCAAGGCAGGATGGAGGTATGATTGTTGTGTCTGAGGTGTTGAGTAGTTTTGCTTATTAATAACTGAGACTCAATGAATTTGTTTTTTTTTTTTTTTTTTTTTTTT